AGCTGCAGGTCTTCCCTTAGGAAGAGGGCTGTTTTAAGAATGGGGAAAGTGACTGTTAATTTTTTATAATGTTCCAATAACTGATGCAATCACGAGGGTTAGAATTCAGAAGAATATATGGTAAACGCTCATTCCTGTCCCCAGCTGCTAGTTTTTCTACCTGTAAATCTAATCTTTTGGGGTTGCCTTTCAAAAGTATTTTTAAAATACAATTGGAAATGTGAATGTTAATATATTAGCACAGAATACATTACTGTATACCTTTTTTTTTTTTTTTTTTTTTTTTTTTTTGTACCAGGGATCGAACTCATGGCCTCACGTTTGCCAGACAGGTACTTATGCCACTGAGCTAAATCCCCGGCATGCTGTATACCTTTTAAAAATACTTAGCAGTATATTTTAGAGAACTTTCCATATACACATGAGTTAGGAGCTTCCTCATCTTTTATAGCTTCATTTTTTTATGGCTGCTTGGTGATGATGTCATATATACATGATGTCATATATAACAGGTTAATTTCTTATTGATGAGTATTTAGACTCAGAATTCTGCAATTACAGATATGTTGTTGATTAGTGTTGTAGGTAGCCGAGGGAAAGTGGTTTGGGAGAGTCTTGTGAGAATTTAAAGATACTTGAGTGTATGTATATTTGTTCTCCTAGTGTATCCTGCTATCCAGAAAACTGTCACAAGTACTTTAGAAGTTTAAGCAGTTGATGAATGAAGTCTCACTGAAGAACCTGGTGTTAGCCTGAGCACCCTGGGTCCTAATGTCACTCCCCAGCTGCTTGAACTTGGGCAAGCTTTCTCACCTTGGAGCTCCGAGTTCCTTCTATGATAAGCCAAATAAGGTTCTGGGAGTTTACAAATTCACGTTTTAGGTTGTCATCTTTTATAATACTCATGGCAGCTCTTGAAGTCTAGTTTCTATCAGCCAAGTGAGAAGATGTCATTTCCTAATAAATTCAAGTTCTCCATCAACATACTGATATTTGCAACTAACAAATTTAAACGGGGGCGGGGGGAAGAACACCAAATTTATTACCTACCTGAGGCATGGGAGTGTTAGGATTCCTGATTTATAGATTTTTTTTCTTTTTTTGAGACAGGGTCTTGCTATGCAGCTCAGGCTGGCCTTGAGCTCACTTTATAGCCCAGGCTGTCTCAAATTTGCAATGATCCTCCTGTCTCATCCTTCAGAGTGCTGGGAATACAGGGATGTGCCACCACACCCAGCTCCAGTGCATAAATTCTTGAGAGCCTTTTAGATAGGTGTTTAGCCAACTTTAACACTAAATCACCTATGAAGTTAGATGTTTCCTCTGTGTTTCTTAGTCTTATACATCAAGAAGAAATGTTAATTATTAATAGTGTGAGAACGAGGAGGTTTTGACTCTGAAAGCATCACATATTTGGTAGTGCTGCTGTGAAAAGTGCCCTAGATGGGTAACTTAGACTGAAATTTACTTTCTCACAACTCGAGAGGATAAAGGTCCAGATTAAGGTGTTGGAAAGATTCTCCACCTCTCTCCTTGGCTTGTAGGTGGCTATTTCCTCCTGAACTTACAGGGTCTTTCCTTTGTACTGTCTGTCCGAGCTTCCTCTCTAAGGAAACCGGTCACAGTAGGTTAGGGTCCACCCTCATCCTTGTAGACTTCAGGCAAAACCAGACTTGTCAGAAGCTGAGGCCACACAGCTGTGTGCTGGAAGTAAAGGGCATGGCCACCCCGGGGATCTCACAGCCCCTGGGACTCTCTGGAGCTGAACAGGGCCCTTTTTCTTTTCCTCCCACATGGCCACACATGTCACAGCCCAGGACTCCTCGGTGGAAGTGTCGTCAAGGAGGCAGGGCTGGTCTCTAAGCAATCTTCTCTTTCTTAGGAGCACATTCCAGCCTTCCCACGGAGGATCCTACCTGTGTGTGAGCCCTTGGCCTCCGGGGAGCTGGCACCTCAGCCCCTCCTCCCCTTCCATTCACAACTCTGCTCCCCAAAGGAGGACAGTGTCTTGTCTTCTTTTACCTACGTAACTTTTCCTATTTATGAACTTTATACCGGTGGACTCATACTGATGGAATCCAGAATGTGTCATTCCCAGACGTGTATCTTTGACATAAATATTTTTAACCAAAAGCAGTTAAGCAGCAAATTGAAGAGCTCTCTCCACCCTCGCTGCTTGCCCCTAAAGACAGGATATAAATTCTCCTTCACTGGAGATAACTCTTATCAGCACAGAGAGGGCATCAGAGGAATCTGAAAACATACCTCACTCCATGTCTTAGTTATTTTTCTCTCATTGCTGAGACAAAATACCTGGCACCCAAGGTTAAAAGGGGGAAGGTTTAGTTAGCTCAGTTTGTAGATTTCAGTCCATAGCTGGCTGGCTCCAAGGCAGAGTGGCACCTGGCAAAGGGGTGTCACAGGGGAGAAACAGTTCATTGTACACAGAAGACAGCAAAAGCAACAGGACCTTAATGTGTCTTTCTGCCCCTTTTATTTTATCTGGAGTACTTAGGGGTGGGCAGTACTCACATCCTTAATCTTAGTGCCCTTGAGTCTAGCATTGCACCATGAGTCAATTCCAGCATCACACATTAGTTCCAGCCACCTCTGAAAAAGCCCCACCTGTGACCACATGAGGCGTTAGGGGGAGATGTGAACACAAGCCATAACACTCCATTAGTTAGTTTACTCCCCTGTATTTACCTGCCCACAGTTTCCTGCCTCTGGAAGCCTGTAACTGCCTTCCTTTGTCTTGTCATCTCTAAAATGCATTGTTCTTTGTTGAAGATGCTGTATAAACCAGAGTCCTAAACCACTGCTTTGAGTTACCTTTCACTGAGTTTTTCCCAAGAGGTGCACACTGCACACATTAATCAACTTGCTCGTTTTTCTTTTGTTAATCTGGCTTTTGTTATGGGGTCTCTTGGTCTTTAAACACTTGAGGGTTGAAAGAAACTATTTGTTTCTTCCCTGACAGTACACATGCCCTCTCTTGTATCTGGTTTCTACAACTCCACCTCATGTTTTTTAGATTCGCCCTTGTTGCGTGTCCTTGTAGTGGATTGATTTCACGCTCTCTGTAACTGTACACAGTGGTTTGCTCCATCCCACCTTGATGGGCATTTGCTGCTTTTATGATTTACTGTTGTGAATCATGGGGCAGTGAACATTATGTCTTTTGGTGAATGTGTACGTTGGAGTGGAACTGCTGGGCTCTGGGGAATGCGTATGCTTAGCTTCAGTACATATTGCTAAGCTGTTTTTCAGAGAATTGTTCCATTTTACACTCCCACATCAGATCTGCTCCGTGTGTGTGTTACAACTATGCGTAACATAACATTTCCCATTTTAAATATTTTAAAGTAAACCCTTCAGTGTCATTGAGTACGTTCACAATGATGTGCAACTGTCATAATTATCCATCACTACGATCTTTTCAAGATTCCAAACTGATGAAACTCCTAATGCCCATGAAACACTGTCTTCCCCCTGCCAGCCCCTCATAATCTCCACCCTCCATGTCTAGAATATGGCTATTCAGATAAGTAGAATCATACAGCACTTGTCTTTTTATGACTAGTCTTTTGTTTTTAATGCTTAAAGATTGAATCTGTGGCTTTGTATATGCTGAGCATGTTCTCTGCCTGCCCCAGCCCCAGCTTCATGTTTTCAAATTGATGCCTGATGTATCACCCAGACTGGGATTGAATTGGCTGGTCCTCCTGTCTCAGCCTCCTAGACTGCTGGGATTACAGGCATGTGCCACTGTACCTGGCCACTTTTTTTTCCCCTCATTTTGCTGAGACTTCTTGTTTTTATAGCAGCTGTCCTGGTGGGTATTAAGTGGCATCTCGTGGTTTTGATTTACATTTCTGTAATGATTAATGACATTGAGCATCTTTTCATAATGCTTATTAATTATTTTGTATATCTGCTTTGGGAAAAAATGTTTTTTCAAGTTCTTTATCTTTTTTTTTTTCTTCCTACAATTGGATTGTGTTTTTAGTATAAAATTTTAGGAGCTCTTTATATATTCTGGATAGTAATTCTTTAAAATTATACTTTTATACATTTGACTACTTTATCATATTCATATTACTAATGTATTTTTGTTATCCTTTCTTCTTTTAAGGAAATACATTTTTTAAACCACAGTGCTAATAATAATTTGAGACTAAAGACAGCCTTTCTATAAAGAGCAGTTAAGATCCCAGATGTTTATGTAGTCAGTTCAATGCTTTTACCCTTAATGTCCTTGAGCCTTGCAAAATTTTGGGCACAACGATGCCAGAGCATATTGTTGATGGTGTCTGGGGCTTGGTCCCTGGCAGGTAACCTGACTGTATGCTTTGGCCATGAGGAAGGGTGGGTAAGAATATTGTTTCTGAATGTCCTCTATGTGTGACTCAAAATCAAGCAGACCTGGTTTCTGAACTTCAGTTTTCTTGTGTTTGCAGAGGGGCTAATACTTTCTTTGGTAGAGTAAGCACATGAATGAAATAAACAGGTGCACTTCTCTCGCTGGTGGCTGGTAGTTATTAACTTAAAGTGCCCACTTGAAAGGGTGGCCTAGCAGAGGAGATTCAGAAGGAGCATGACAAACTGAAACAACCAGAGGTGGTCCTGAGTGGTCTTCGGGCAGCAGCGTGACAGGATACATACTGTGTACAGATGAACTTGAGGCCTCCAGAAAATGTTCCACTGCTAGCCATGGGCTGCTGTCACCAAATGTTTCTGATCCTGGTTGTCTGGCCTTGGGAACAAAGTGGGATCAGATCCACAAACTGACGGGAAGGGGCCCTCCATCCTGAGACCGAACCAGAGCCCTGTCTGAAAGTCGTATTGGTCACACCGCTTGTCAGAGGAAGTAGCCTCGCCTGCAGCCACTTGGTAACTGTCCTTGCTTCAGTCAGGGACTGACGTCAGGTGCTGTGTCCGCCTGGGTAGCTTCTAGAAGCCCCCTGTTTCCTAATAGTCTCTTTTTCCCTTCCCCACAGTAGCTCTCACCAGCCGCCCTGGGCAAGAGTTGGCCCCCCTTGGGACTGATAACGACGGCTTCACTGGATTGAGCTGGGGAACAGTCCAGGTAAGACACCTGCCCACCTGTCTGTATGGCCCAGACGCTGCAGATGTGCCTGGTCAGGACGGGAGGAGGATGTTCTCTGGGTGTGCTCAGGTTGCTGCTACCTGACAGTCCTTGGTTGCTACAGCTGTTGTAAGCAAAGGCATCCATCAGAGCAGGTGGGGCAGCCCTCCGCTGTGCGGCTGTCCGTGAGCATGGTGCTGGCCTAAGCAGGAAGTCGCTGCAGTGCCCACTAGGGGTGCCGGAGTCAGGCCAGCAGGGCAGCAAGAGCTGCCTTCCTTGGCACGGTTCACCCACTGCTCTTAATCCTTTGCCCCCCCACCACCACACCCCACTTCCCTTGCCTTGGCCATGTTATCCAAGGGACTCCAAGTGACGCCCATTCCATGAGGACTGCCAATCCCGTGAACCTCTGTGAGGTGTACTTAGGAGCACACCCCTCTCCCTTCTTTTTTCCTCCTTTCCTTCCTTTTCCTCCCTGCTCCCTTCTTCCTTTCACCTGGGCGTTAACTGAGAGCTTTAACACTGAGCTTCATGCCCAGCCCGTTTTGTATTTTGAGGCAGGTTCTCACAGTGGCCCAGGTTGGGCTTGAACTTGAGCTCCTCCTACCTCAGCATCCCGGAGTGCTGGGACCACTGCTGGGTACACAGAGCTCTTTTAATTTTTTTTTAATATAACTAATACAACTACATGACAAAAGTTTTTAAAATACCAGCACACATCTACAATCATAGCTGCTTGGGAGACCGAGGCAGACCCTCGCTCCACTGCTAAATAAATAAATAACAAACAGTGAACAATCTCATCGTTTGTCTCCATCTATTTGCCTGAAGCCCTGTCCACCAGTCTTAGAGAAGACACAGACAACTAGGGTGTCCAGGTTCTTTCCCTCTAGGGTTTACTTCTATATGTCATACATTTATTTATATTATATGTATTTAGAAAAATTGTATTGTTGAGTATATATAGATATAAAGATACTCTTTTCTTTCTTTGTGCAAAGCTAATGTATTATATATATATATGTCCATACTTTTCTTTTTGTGTATAACGATATATCAGTATACCTGTCTTTGTGTTAAGAAAATCTGAGCATGTGGTCTTATCTTCCAATGCTATTACACAAAAGATTGGAATGGTGCTGGCCCTTGAGCCCTATGTGTTTGTTAATAGAATTCTAAGCTCTACGAAGCTGTTTGTACCTTAATCTTTTCATTTAAAAACACATATCAAAGAGCTTTTCTTGCCAGCACATAGAGAACCTCCTTGTTCCTTTTTAGAGCTGCATAATATACTATCACATGAATGTGTTGTAGTGTATGGTCTTCTCTATACATGGACACTTAGATTGTTTCCAAATTTCCTTGGGCAGTTAGCCCATCTGTGTGTCTTTCTTCACCTTTAATTCTAGTAGGTGTTGCAGCTCTTTCCACATCCGGGTTAAGAGGTTTTCTAACCTTGCAGGAAAAGGAAGCTTTGAAGACCTCCACACCCAAACATGTCTTACGAAGACGCAAGAGAGAATGGGTGGTCCCACCAATATCCGTCCCTGAGAATGGCAAGGGTCCCTTCCCCCAGAGGCTGCATCAGGTATGATGATGGCTTCCCCCTGGGAGTATGGGTGGCTACAGGGACCCATCCAAAGGCCTGAGTGTGAGGTTTCTTGGTGCTGAGGCCCACAGAGCAAAGTCCTTGTCGGGGGAGCAGATTCTCATAAGGCTGTGCCCCCTCATCTCCCAGATGATTCTTTGCTGAATTAGCTGCTGTTTTCTTTGCTTTTAGCTCAAATCTGATAAGGACAAGGGCACCAAGATTTTCTACAGCATCACAGGGCCTGGGGCAGACCGCCCCCCAGAGGGTGTCTTCGACATTGACAAGGAGACGGGCTGGCTGCTGCTGAATAAGCCTTTGGACCGGGAGAAAATCGCTAAGTATGAGGCAAGTGGCCTTCTGTACCCATCATAAACGTCTGCCTGCCACAGGGCCCTAACCCTGAGGAGGAGGGAGTACCAAGCTGACCCCAGACCTCTGTGCTCACAGCTGTTTGGCCATGCGGTGTCAGAGAACGGCGCCTCCGTGGAGGAACCCAGGAACATCTCCATCATTGTGACGGACCAGAATGATCACAGACCCAAGTTCACCCTGGAGGTCTTCCGAGGGGGTGTCGTGGAGGGAGCCCGGCCTGGTAAGAGGACTAGAAGGACAATTGCTATGGGCTTCCTGAGGCCAGACCTTGCTTTGGAGCAACTTCTGGAACCATCTAGAAGTCAACCCAGATCCTTAAATACTGGGAGACCCCACCACTCTTTTTTCTTTCTTTCTTTTTTTTTTTTTTTGAGACACAGGGTTTTGCTCTGTAGCTCAGGCTGGCCTTGTACTCACAGTAATCCTCCTGCCTCAGCTTCCCAAATGCTGGGATTACAGGCATGCACCGCCATGCCCAGCTAGACGCCACTATCTTTGATTCCTTTGGCTGTGCATCAGATTACCTGGAATCATCTTAAAAATTCACAGTTTGCCAGTCTGTCTCAAGATTCCTGATTAAGAATCTTGCTTAATAAAATTCTAGCTAAAGAACAGAGTGATGCAGTAGAGCTCTGGTATCCATATATATGAAGACATCTGGAAGCTTCAGCCAACTCTGAGAACCCTTATTAGCGTAAGAGAGTGGTGACAAACCTATAGCACAAGGGCCACAGTGGGCTGTTTGTGTCACTGAAAGCCCGAGAAGGGTCGCCATCACTGGCTGAGGAGCTGCAGACTGAGATTTGAGTATTTGCCTCTTCACCAGCGATGAGTATGGGCGTGTTCTTGACTTCTGAGCCTCATTCACATCTGACCGTGGGCATGAGGGCGACCTTGGAGATTAGAAATAATGTGCAGCTGGGGGTGTAGTTCAGTGGTTAGAGCACCTGCCTGGCACACACACTTGTGTTCCATCCTCAGAACAAAAAGAAAGAAAAATAGAAAGAAGAAACAGAAAGAAAAAGCATATACATACAATTACTACAAAGCACTTGATATAAGCTTTTTTCAGTGAAGGTGCCTACAAGGAAGGCAGCAGGGGCAGGACGGTGCTAGAACATGGCCTACGGAGAGTAGGAAAAACTGGCGGGAATGAAGCAGAGGCTGTTTGGAACCAGCGGCCATAGATGCTCTTTTTTCCCCCTCGATGCTGGGGATCATAGTAGATGCATAGTCACAGCCTCCAAGATGGATGTTGATGGAGGGAAGGTTTCTCTCTCTGTTACTGGAAACTTCAGAGAAGCATGAGTTGAGTAGCCTTCCAATCACATAAATTCCTACAACAAAAACAGTCTTAAACAAGATCAAACTCTCTTTTTTTCCTCTTTCCTTATATTTAGGAAGCCTAGAAGTAGCCAGTCAGTCCAGGCTGGAATTTAAAGACTTAGAGCTAGGTTTCTTCTGTTTTGTTTTTTCTGCTATTTTATACCTTGTTTTTATGGTTAACTCAACTGGGGTTGCTAGAGCTCCAGCCATTACACCTGGAAGAAGGGCTGAGGTGAGAAGATAAACCGTCGATCAGGGTTTATTCTCACAGTCATAACTGGCTGCAAGAGGGCTGGAAACAGGACTTGTTCAAGGTGAGTCTGTGCCTACGTGAAGACCACATTGTTAAGAAAGGAGAGAGAGGAAAGTGGGCAAAACTAGCAATCTCTGCCACAGAGTAGAAAATGGGTCCAAGCTGATGAGCAGGGCAGAACCTCCCGGAATCCAGAAGTAGGCAAGGCTGGACTCACTCACCCTTCCTGTCTCCAGGTACTTCTGTGATGCAGGTGACAGCCACGGACGAGGACGATGCCATCACCACCGACAACGGGGTGGTTGCTTATTCCATCCACAGCCAAGAACCCAAGGACCCACACGACCTCATGTTCACCATCCACCGGAGCACGGGCAGCATCAGTGTCGTCTCCAGCGGCTTGGACCGGGAGGTGAGTGGACATTAGGGAGGGTGCCCATCAGCTTCCCCATGCTGAGCCTGAAGCTGAGGTCACAGTGGGACAGCGGGGACCCCAGGCCCTTGGGTGGTGCTGCGGTTCTCACATGCCGAAGGCCCACAGCTCCCCTGGGCCAGTGCGCTGCTGCCACAGTCCCCTTGGAGGAGGAGGAGGCAGCCGTGAAGTGCAAACTGCAGATATTTCCTGTGGGTTCCCTCATTTCCTCTTGGAACGGCTCACTTGGTGGGCACGTTCCCAGATGTGTCCCTGGTGTGCCACAAAGTGGAATGAGCTGCACGGATGCTGGAGCCGTCTTCTGTTTCCTAGTTAATAACTTCACTACAAATCTGTACTTAGAGCTCCCTTCATGGGGTACCTGGGGACAGGCCCAGCTCTGCCCTCTGCTCCTGTTGGGTCTGGCAGGGGTGAACACGGGTCAAGAAGTCTCGAGACAATTGTGAGAGCAGGGAGCTCACCCCTGCCTGGCACCCTGCCGAGGCTGTGTCTCCCGGAGCCATGTAGGGGGCTCCTCAGAATGGACTCATCGTGGGTTCCTCCCCACCTGCTTTCTCTGCAGAAAGTCCCGGAGTACACACTGACCATCCAGGCCACGGACATGGATGGCAATGGCTCCACCACCACAGCAGTGGCGATCGTGGAAATCCTCGATGCCAATGACAATGCTCCCATGTTTGATCCCCAGAAGGTAATGCACGCTCCTTCCTTCCTTCTTCCCTCATCACTAATGAAGGGCTAGGTTCTTCCTTTCTCACAAAACTCAGACCGGTCCAAGTGGCTTCAAGTCCTAGTCCCACAGCTTATTAGCCGTGTGACCTCAGGCAAACTCTCTAACCCTCTGGACCAGGTTTCTAGTCTGCTTTGCTCTAAGTATCACATAGATACTCAGTACAAAAATCCTTATTGATGTGGAAACTTTATTGACAGAAGACTTAGTGACAGTCAGGTGACCCTGCCCCATCTCTAGAGAGCTCGAGCTGCTGAACTTAATTTATGCCTGATTAAAAACTTACTCTAAGAGGCTGGAAATGCATGAGACTCTGGGTTTAATCCCCAGCCCTGCCTCCACACCCCAGATTATTCTAAGCAAGTGACTTCCCAGTCTTTGCCATCAGCCCACGACGTCCATCAAAGTTCCCGGCCAGTGCCCCAGCAGTCAGGCATCTGCCCTTTTGTTTCATTTTGTGTTTTGGGGACAGGTCTCACTATGTAGTTCAGGCCGGCTTTGAACTCATGGTGGTCCTCCCACTTTACCTCCTGGGTTCTTGGATTACAGGCATGCGCCACCTCTCCCGGCCCATCCACCCTTCTTTCCACCTTCCTTGTAGACTGTTGATCTCGGTGAGCTAGGTATACTCGCTAGCTACATTTGGCAGGGGACTTAGACACCGAAACCAGGGCGACTCCAGGAGCATCGGGCCCTGGGAGAGTGAAGACAGGCCCAGGGTTGATGTGGTTTGTCCTGGAACCTGCGAGGCTGATGCTCAGGACCTCCTGTACTTGTGTGTGCCGTAAAAACCTGCTAAGGAGTTTGGGGCCCAGGAAAAGATAAAGCGTTAGGGCTCCCCAGAAGTGGTAAGGAGGATCACAGTCCCTGAAAACTGGAACAGCCTCTCGGGGTGCTCAGTCTCTCCCCTCTGAGTGCGCTGTTTCCTGCACTGACAGTATGAGGCCCAGGTGCCTGAGAACGCAGTGGGCTTTGAGGTGCAGAGGCTGACAGTGACCGACCTGGATGCCCCCAACTCCCCTGCATGGCGTGCCAGCTACCACATTGTGGGAGGCGACGACGGGGACCATTTTACCATCACCACCGACCCTGAGAGCAACCAAGGCATCCTGACAACCCAGAAGGTGAGTCCCTTTGGGATTTGAGCAAAGGGCCCGCCTGAAGTGGCTTCCAGGACCAGGGGACATCGTCTGCCTGGGGCCACAGGTAGGAGCCGCACGGTGCTTCCCTCCCAGAGCCTCCTCCAGCCGTATCCTGGCATCATGCTGCTAGTTTTGCATTATTCTTTGACATATCTAGGTATTTGGATAGCAAAGTGTTTTTAACTACTTAGTCAGCACATTCTTGCCTCTCAAAAAAACAATTATTCAAGCTAACTCATGCTTTTTAGGAAAATAAGAGTACCCCAACTGTGAGATAAAGGAGAAGTTGACTGGAAAAGTTACTGAATACAAATACTTCAATAATGTAAACTTTGGGGCACAATATACTAAAAAACATGGAGAAGTGGCCAGTTACTTAAATCTCTCTGTAGACTCACCCAAATGCAGTAGATTCTGTATGTTGCCCTGGGGACACATACCACAAATGGTTTTCGTGTCTTTTTAGAATAGTGAACAAATTCTTGAAAAAGCCCTAAACAAATTAAGTTACAAGTTTCTCTTAGAAGCTCCAATCCTGGAGAATCCAATATATATTAAAGCCATACCAAAAACTTAGTTTACATGTAAAACATGTTCTAGACTGTAATTATAAACAGAGCTTTCATATCCATGAATGTACAAATGTCAAAGGAGCCATTGACAAGTCACATGGGATATGGGGTCAGGCCTTTGTGTTCATAAAATTGTGAAACATGGGGATCCTGCCGCAGCTTACAAATGCCAGTGGCGCCCGTGGGCATGACAGCTGGAATGCCTCTGTTACTTTCTAAAATACCCCCTAGTGTCGCCACTTCTGTGAGAATCCCTCTCGATGTCTACTCAGGAAAAACAGGAGGCTTTTGGGATGGGGGTAGAGCAGGATTATTGGCGGGGGCCTCAGTCGCCTCACTGGGGGCCGTTTCTTTCTGATGGCCACAGGCCTCACAAAATGGCCGTTCCTTGTTTCTTCTCTCCTAGGGCTTGGATTTTGAGGCCCAAAACCAGCACACACTATATGTCCAAGTGACGAACGAGGCTCCCTTTGTGGTGAAGCTCCCAACCTCCACAGCCACTGTCGTGATCCACGTGCAGGATGTGAATGAGGCCCCTGTGTTTGTCCCACCCTCCAAAGTCATTGAGACCCAGGAGGGCATCTCCGCTGGGGAGGCTGTCTGCACCTACACTGCACAGGACCCTGACAAGGAGGATCAGAAGATCAGGTACTCGGGAGCTGGGCTCTGAGCCTGCCACAGGCACCAGCCCGGTGGGCTGCTTTTTCTAATTATTAAAGATTGTTCAGTATTTTGAACGCTGCACCAGGCTTCTCCTTCCTTCCATGCTTGTAGCTAAAGATTCCAGATGAGGGGCCAGGGACAGATATGTCCTCTTTTCTTGTGTATCTCTGCTGGTCTCAGCTGCTACTTGAGGTTCCATCTGCAGTAAGAAGCTTTTCCCATGGGCCTTTGGAGCCCAGTGACCATCTGCAGGTGGTCTGAGGAGTTTTTGACAGATGACAGCAGAATTCCAAATATTCTGGATGTGATCCTTCTCTGCTCTTCCTCTCCAGCTACCACATCCTGACAGACCCAGCCAAGTGGCTAGCAATAGACTCGGACAGTGGACAGGTCACTGCTATAGGCCTCCTAGACCGTGAGGATGAGCAGTTTGTGAGGAACAACATCTACAAAGTCACGGTCTCAGCCACTGACAACGGTGAGAGCTTCCTTCCAGCCCCTCCACAAGGGAGGCCTTCACGTCCCATGTCACTTGCCATAGCATGTCTCCCCTCCAGCAAGGGATGGGGGTTAGGGTAGGCAGCAAACGGGTCTGAACTTAAAGGGCTCTTTCAGAGGACTCTTACAAAGACCACTCCCAGGGTGAAGTCGTGACCCTGATTTTCCTAATACCCAAGAGTCAGGAGGGGTCCTGAAAACTCCCTTCAACCTAAATTTTTGGATCACTGAACCTTGAATTGGCTTCAGTTTCCCCTTGAAGTTGATTGATAAAGGATTCCTGGAAGTGCCATGATTGATTAGTGATGTCACCCCATGAGGGATGGGGATTATGATGTAACTAAGGCCCGGAGGCAGGTTTCCTGAAGCTCATCAGCAAACACTGGCCAACCCCCAAAGTGGCCAGCGGGTTTTTTGTTCTGTGATAGGTTGTCAGGACTCTCTGGGTTCTGTGGCCGCAGCTGTACTGAGATTGTTTAGTGCTGTCTACTGTGGACACAAGCGAGAAGTTTGATTGATTGCCATGTATAGATCAAGTGGCATCACTGGTTTGGTGCATGCTGAAGCCTAGGGACTTTAGGAGTCAGAGCTAACTGGGGAGCAGGAGCCTTTCCGAGGATGACCAAGTAGGTCTTAGGCAAGCTTAATGTTCTTCAGCTGCAGCCGAGGGCAGATGCTGAAGAGATATCCTGTGTGTACTTATGAACAGGGAACCCTCCCGCCACTGGCACAGGGACCCTCCTGCTAACGCTTACTGACATCAACGACCACGGCCCGATCCCCGAGCCCCGTCAGTTCACCATCTGCAATGAAAACCCGGAGTCCCAAGTGCTGAACATCACAGACAAGGACCTGTCCCCCAACTCCTACCCTTTCCAGGCCCGGCTCGTTTTTGACTCGGACATCCACTGGATGGCAGAGGTCAGTGAAAAAGGTAAGTGGCGTTAGCACGGGTGGGTGCTGGTTCTGCCGGGTGGGCATCTGCCCCATACGAGGACCCCACACAAAGTCCTGTTCTAGAAGGACTTTGGTTACTTCTGGGTCAAAAAGTAATGGATGCCTCAAGAACATCAATCAAATGGCATTTACTTTATGGCAGGGAGGCAGCTCAGTGGCAGAGTGCTTGCCTAGCATTTCTGAGGCTGTGAGTAGATCTCCCAGCACCACACACACATACACACATACACACATACACACAAGCTAGTTGTTGGCCTAGATATGCATTTTCAATTCTATAGGAGCCCCAAAAGACCTTAATACCCCATCCAGCCTTCCTGGACAGATGGGAAAAGACCCAGAGGTGAGAGATTTGTCTAATGTCACCTAGCAAGAGGTGGACTCTAGCATGGGGCTGGGGACATACCACAGTGCATGCTTGGCAGGTGGGGTTTGAGCCTCAGTATCACGCATGCATATACACACGCACAATCACACACTCTAGCACAGAAATGTCAACTGCCATTCACCGAGTGCTTCAGTTCAGGTGCTTCGCACTAAATTACTGAATCCTGAGGCCAGCCCTACAGAGGAGGTAGTACTGTTGCTTAGTGGCTCTCACAAGCATGTTTTACAAATGAGAAAACCAGGGCCTACAGAAGCTTAAATATCTTGCTAGAGATACCACAGCTAGCGAAAAATACTGGCACCACGATTTTAATCCAGACTTTTTTTTTTAAAGCAATACTAGGGATTGAATCTTAGCTTGCATACAGAACTACGTCCCCTAAGCCTTTTTTTAGTGGCGGGGGACAAAGTCTCACTTTATAGTTCAAGCTTGCCTGGAACTTGCTGCAATGTGTAGTCTAGTCTGGCCTTGTTCCTGTGGCAATCCTTCTGCCTCAGCCTCCCAAGCACTGGCATTGAAAAGTGTGCACTACCACACCTGTTTTGTTTGTTTTGTTTTGAGGCAAGGTCTTGGTCAATTAACTGGGCTGGGCTCAAATTTAGAAATCTTCTAACCACGAATATGGCTCAGTGGCACAAGTGCCTGCCTGACAAGTGTGAGGTTTGATTCCCCATACCCAAAAAAGCCTTCTACCTCTCCCTCCCAGAGGGCTGGGATTATAGGCATGCACCATCACACCAGCTTAATCAAGGCGTTTGATGTACCATGATGCTCTGCTGCCAATCATTTATTGAACCCTGGCTATGCAAGGTGCTCTCTTTCTCTCTCTCTCTCTCTCTCTCTCTCTCTCTCTCTCTCTCTCTCTCTCTCATTATCTCTGTCTGTCTGTCTCTATTTCTCTATCTCTGTCTCTCTCTCTCTATTTAATATTTCTACCAAACTCTGGTCAGAGTTTTCATCCCTATACAGAGATGAAAGTGAGGCTGGTGGGGAGCGGGGTTAAACAGCACGCCTCAGGACCCCGCGTGGGCGAGAAGTAGAAGTTGAAGCCAGAAGACAGATAATAGGAAACAGAGACAGATGTTTTGCAAATTGAAAGAAGGCCAAGAATAGAGGAAGGGGAAGGGAGAGGAGGAGAGGGGACATAAAAAGAATCAAAACAGATTATGCACAGGTGCCAGCTCCTCATAGTGAATTGTAATCATCATGTACTGCAAACATGTACTAATAAAAGTTACGAATAAAAGGAATTTGAAGCCAGGCTTGGACTCCGGAGCCTCTGGTCCTCTCATTCCCATCTACCTGTGACAAGGTGTATCCCTGCTCCCAGTGGGGAGCCAGAGAATCAGTACATTCAGATTCTGCCTCCTAGGAAACCCAGTGCTGCGTTTCTGTTACAGCAGTATTCCCAGGCCTGCTGCAGATAACCACATTTTCTCATTTTTATGAGTCCTGTGATTTTGGTGTGTACATCCAACACCTTCCTTTGCAAAGCCCACACTAGTCTGTTACCACCTTGTTGCCTAGAAGCCATAATTTTTTCCCTCTCAGATTGTGTCATGTAAGAGCTTGAACTCTAGAGCTAGATGCTCAAGACCCAACTCCTTCATTTACTGGACATCAGCTTTGTGGCTGTTGGCAACTCACTGAACTCCCTGTGCCTCAGTTCCTTATCTGTAGAATGGGATTGGTATGTGTACCTGCTTCCTACTAGCCTCTGTAACAATAAGTGAATGCATGGACCCATCTTCAATGCTGTTTCTTCCTAGCAGCAGTCACAGATACGGCTCCATCAAGATACTGATACCTGGTTCTTGGTTTTGATTTGTTTATTCTATTTGCTCCTGTCCTTGGTTATCAAGGAAATTCATCCATGTGACCTCGGCCTAATGACTTGATTCCTTCAGCCTCGATTTCTGTATTTATAAATTAGGTTAATGACAGTAGCTGCCTCTTAATGTTGAGGTCAGGGGTAGTGGAAGGGGCTGGCTTATGATAAGTGTCCATTTAGTCAGTCCTGCTGTTAGCAATAGCATCTGAGCAGCCAGCCCTCCAGCATGGCACAGATGTTTTGATAATGCACCCATGTTGGCCTCTCCTTGTGGGACACCAGATGCTCAGACTGCAGAACTATCTCTGTCCACCACTGCCAAATGGGAATGATAAATTCTACTCCTGGCCTTTTTACTAAGTGTGGGCAGAACACAACACTCGCACACACACACCCTTGTCTTATTCTGGGAATCAGACCCAGGTCCTTGGGTACCGCTAAGCTACATCCCAGCCCATATGGAGAGTCTTTAAAATAGAAATGGCTTATGCTCAGTGCTGAAAGAACCCTACAAGCCCTGCAAGCCTGGGGTTAGGAAGTAAGAGGTCATTTGGTGGGCGTGAGTTTGTGCCTGCATGTAATGCTGGAGATAATCCAGCATGAAGGGAAAAGTTCTGCCCGTACTACCCATACTCTTGAGAAAGCTAGGTCTAATTGTAACTGAAAGCCTTTTATTGAACCCCTGGCCTCACATTCCTTACCCGCAAACATCCTGCGCCTCCTCACTCTGGCTTTGCTGAGTTTCTCAGCACAGTGCCCATGTATGTGCCACTGTAGGGCTCCAGGGACCAGTTAGCCCCAGGCTGATGGCAGCATCTCAGGCATCCCTGATGCAATGTGCAGCCACTAATGCTATGATGACCGGGGTCGGCATCCTGGCCCATCTGCTTAACACCAGCACTTAAATACCCAAGTCACATGCATTTGGATTTAGCCACCATAGGACAGTCGCTGGAAATACAACTGTCTTATATGTAAAAATTCGGTCATATAGTGGAAGTAAAAACCTTACAAGAGCAAAATAATAAAGGACAGTCGGTATTCAAATGAGAAAATAAGGGGCCCTTAATATGAATATTAAACTATGAGGTTGGCTACCTCTTGGGAAGAATAATGTATTAAATGCTGTGGTTATTGGATTTTTTCAATACTAGGGATTGAACCACTGAGTTACATCCCCAACAGTTTTTATATTTTGAGACAGGATCTTGCTGAGTGACCCAGGCTGGTCTTGAACTCATAATCCTCCTACTCCAGACTCCCAAGTAGCTGGGATTATAGGCATGTGCCACTGCACCTTGTTACTGTTTTGTTTTTTAATAAAATGGCTGGGGTTATAGTTCAGTGCCACAGTGCCTGCCTGGCAAGCGCGAGGTCGTAAGTTCAATTTCTGATGCCATAAAAAAATTTAAAATGAATATTTCTTGATGGTGAATGTTGCTTTAGCTACATGTTATTTTGGGAGCGCTGGCTGATGGGACCCCGGGTTTCCTGCGTGCTAAGCTTATGCTCTACCCAGACCCAGGTACCTACTTTCATCACTGGGTGGGCTGGAGGCTGCTCTTGGTCTGTGTCTCTTGCTCGGTCACAGAGGTCCTTCTAGACCTTCATCATGGAGCTCCCACCATCATCGGTTCACACCACCTAAGATGTACCCAGCTAAAAAACTGTCTGTACATTAGGAGACACAGTGGCCTTGTCCCTGAAGAAGTTCCTGAAGCAAGACACCTACGATGTGTACCTCACTCTGTCTGATCATGGCAACAATGAGCAGCTAACAGTGATCAAAGCCACCGTGTGTGACTGCCGCGGCCACGTGGTGTCCTGCCCCGATCCCTGGAAGGGCGGCTTCATCCTCCCCATCCTGGGCGCTGTTCTGGCTCTGCTGGGTGAGTATCTGATGGTAGGGTCAAGAGATCTGCCTCTTCTCCTAATTCCTGGGGCTAACGGGCCACCAACATGGCCCACATTCTCTAAATTCTTCTAATTCCAAGAGTGTCATTCAGTCAGTAGTTATTTCTGGGCGCTTCTGGAATATGTCAGGTGTTGGTGACACAGTGGTGAGCAAGCAGGCTTGACCCTCCTATGATGAGCCCTTGAGGCTGGCGCTGTGGTCTGGGTGGTCTCTGGCTAATGAGCAGTACCAGGAATTTGTTAGGCAGATTCTCCAACCCTGCCCCAGATCTGGCGACCCGGAAACGGAAGGATGAGGCCCAGTAATCCGTGTTTGGACAAATGCTCAATAAGTTCTGATGCATGCCAGAATCGGAGAGCTTACTGGTGTGAGGGAATGGGTGGGTATAGCATGAACTTAGCATACACAAGCCTGAGTTTGATTCCCAGCACCACCAAAGCAAAACAAAAAATGAATTTCTTTGCTTTAAGGTAGAACTTATCACAGTTGCTTGTTTCCACCCTTTACTTTGGTCCTTACACAGAAAACCAAATATGAATGTAAAGCCACCCAGCACTTGGGAAGCTGGTGAGGCAGGAGGATTGTTGCAAATTCCAGACCAGCCTGGGCTACAAAGTGAGCTCAAGGCCGGTCTGAAATGCATAGTGAGACCCTGTCGCAAAAGAGTGTGAAAGAGCAAGTTTTCGTTAATCAGCGTACAGGACTCCAAGCACAGCTTTCAGCACTGGAGTGAAGCACTTCCCGAAAACAGCAGAGCACTGTCCTCCTGGACGCCCAGCACAGAGCCGGGTGTGGCTGTAGAGGGGAGAGAGTGGGAACAGGCATGCTGTGTTAAGATGGCATAAGAAGTCTGCAGTTTTAAGCAAGATAAGCAGGAAAGGTAAAAAGCATATTCGAGTAAGATCTGAAAGAGGCAAGGAAGCCAACCATGCAGGTATCTAGGGCACAGCGAATGCAGAAATGCCGAGCCAGCTTTGTGCTTGGTGCATGCAGGCAACAATGGGTGCCGTGGGAAAAGCAAGCGGGAAAAGTGGGAAATGAGGGCCGGCCGAGGGATGCTAGATGAAGCGGATCATGGTGCTGGGCCTTGTAGACGGTGTAAGGACTCAGAGCGGAGCAGCGATGTAATTTGAGTTACATTTTGCAAGCTTCCTACTGACCAGACGATAGGGAGGCAGAGGTGGAGGTGGGGAGAACATTGGGAGGCTGATTCCATAATCCCGGCTGAGACTGGTGGCTCGGAGAAAGATGGCAGCATTCAAGGTGTCAGTGCAGACTGATGTCACAGAAGGAGCGAGCTGCGATTCCCAGGCTTTGGGCCTGAGCAAGTTGAAATGTGGAGTTTGTGTTTACCAGTTTGGAAAGGACCACGGCAAGAGATTTGCGGCTGGGCAGTTAGACTCATCAGCGTTGGATTTAGGTGATAAATCCAGTTGCTATCTTACTCCTCCCCCACATCCAGTGAGAAGGAAAAAAAAGGGAAGTGAAGTTACCATCTGTGTGTAGCTTGAGAACTTTAGATTTCCAAGTCTTTTTATTTTTTTTTTTTTTGTAAGATTTTTTTTTGGTCTTTTTCGTTTTTATCGGTACCAGGGATCGAACTCACGACTGCCTGCTTGCAAGGCAGGTGCTTATGCCGCTGAGCTAAATCCCCAGCCCCTAGATTTCCAAGTCTTGTCTGGGCAGAGAAGCAGCGTGGTTCCATCAGAAAAAAGTAGCAACTCAAAGCAGAGGCTGCATCGTCTCACATGGAACTGCCAGGGGAAGGGCAGGGGAGCCCCTAACACAGAGTTAACTGGGTGCAGTCTGAGAGCTAGGGAGAGCAGGCAGGCCTTAGCTGGCCAGTTCCCCCAATGTACAAATAACGCTGCCAGCCTTCAAACCTGTATCACTAAGTCAGTCCCTGTCTTAGAATTGCAACATAGCATTTGCACCCAAGATCAAATTACTACACCATAGCCTAGCAAAGGAGGGGCACATGCCTGTAATCCTATACTTGGGAGGCTGAAGCAGAAAGATCTCAAGTTCAAAGCCAACTTGGGCTACATAGTGAGACTCTGTCTCAAAAACAAAAACAAAAAAAACTGTACCTTTTTTTGTTATTGTTTTTGCTTGGTTTTTTTGGGTTTTTTTTCTTTTTTTTTTTTTTTTTTTTTTTGGTCTTTTTGGTCTTTTTGAGACAGGGTCTTACCACGCAGTTCAGGCTGACCATTAGCTCACGTTGCAGCCCAGACTGATCTCAAACTTGCAGCAATCTTGCCTCAGCCTCCCGAGAGCTGGAATTACAGGTGTGTGTCACCATGTCCAGCTACTACACCATACTGAAGTTGTATTATCTTGCTTTTAACTTCAAGTGCATGACTAGCTTAGGAGGTATCTGGTGACCAAGAGTCTCGTTGAAAGTTAACAATTGCTGGGAGGTTCCCATCCCACAAAAGAATTTCCCTAAGAACCAATCGTCCAATCGACTGTGTAGGGGCTCTAGGGCTGGAGGGCTTGGTGGCCACGTGGTCAGGGGTGAGCATTCTTATTCGCTGACTCCTTCAGTCCTCCTGTTGGTGCTCCTCTTGCTGGTGAGAAAGAAGCGAAAGGTCAAAGAGCCTCTTCTGCTCCCAGAAGATGACACGCGTGACAATGTCTTCTACTATGGTGAAGAGGGTGGCGGTGAAGAGGACCAGGTAGGTCGGGGGCGCCTGGCAGCTGGGAGGTGGAGTCCCTCAAGGCCACTGGGTCAGCCACCAAAACATGGGTTGGTCTTACCAGCTTCCTCTTCTGAAGGGGCCTGGCCCATTGCTGTAGTCTCCTTGACTAGGCCAAGTGGGCCTTGAGTCTGAGCTTAATTTGGAAGGACAAGGGGGCAGGGCACAAGGTCATTCAGGAGTCTCTGACATCTACCAATGTGCTAAGATCCACCTATGGACCAGAGCACCCACGAGGTGAGTGGTAACGGATGGGGACATTTAACTGTGTAATCTCATTCATTTTTGCAAAGGACTATGACATTACCCAGCTCCATCGGGGTCTAGAGGCCAGGCCTGAGGTGGTTCTCCGCAACGATGTAGCCCCAACCTTCATGCCCACACCCATGTACCGTCCCCGGCCAGCCAACCCTGATGAAATCGGCAACTTCATCATTGAGGTAAGACACAGCAGGCAGCCTAGGGCAGCCCTTAGTCAAACCCAATACAAGCAGCACAGAACAAGCATGAGGTTTTAGCTCTGGGTTCAAATCCTAGTTCTGCCACCAAAATAGCTATGTGACCCCTACATACTTGAATACCTCTGGGCTTCAGTTGCTTTCTTCATAAAACCCAGTTTTGTAGACTGCTGTAATCCCAATACTCAGAAGGCTGAGCCAGAAGGATTTCAGAGTTTGAGACCACTCAAAAGTAGTAAGTTCTGGACTATCCTAAACTATGTAGTAAGACTTGTCTCAAAAAAAAAAATAAATAAATAAATGGAATACTTTATTAATTTATTCAAACTTAGCCTTTGTTAGAATTCTCTGGAACCAGAATACCTAGATTTCAATTTTAGTGATTCCAGGAGATTTCAATATGGAGGAAAATTTATTTCACAAAGTGAGCTAAGAAGCACCTAGAACAATTCTGGATCAGGCTCCAAAAACTTCCTGCCTTTGGGACCACCTGGGAGCATCCATGCTCACCGGAGCTTCTGATTCACACTCAGGAGCTGGAATCCATTGATTTCACTGTGACCCTGGGCTTTTATTCCCCAAGTAAATAGAAAACGCAGACCATGAGTTTGGCACGTGCAAAGTCTGTGACAGGAGCCAAGCACAGCCTGACTCCTAGTTAGCCGTCAATGACTTAAGGTTCTTTGAGTTGAAAGTCGAAACTGGGTGGGCCTGTTGGTCAGCAGCAGTGGACAGGAGGCCTCAGCCCAACTTAGTACTCAGTCTGTTTTCTCTCCTGCACAGATGGCAACTAAACTGCTTACACACACACACACACACACACACACACACAAGGCTTTTCCACAAATAGTCCATAAGTGAACCTCTTAGCTTGAGTATGCCAGAAGAGTGCTGTACAAAAAACCAGATTGTGTCACATGGGGCGAAGGTGGTCAGAGCAGCTGTTCAGAGACCACACTTCGGTGCCAAAACCTGGAGCTTTGCCCTCTGGGTGGATGCAGGTGGCTGGAAAGACGGGGGGTCACCCCTAGTGTGTGGAGTCTGGATGGAGCCAAGTCCCTGGGCCCAGCGGTTCTGAGCCTTGAGGAAGGGGCAGGCTGCCTCCAGCAGGCTGGCAGATGACAGTTCTGTCGCTTCTAACCCTGACTCTGCTGCCACAGAACCTGAAGGCGGCCAACACGGACCCCACCGCCCCGCCCTACGACTCTCTGCTGGTGTTCGACTACGAGGGCAGCGGCTCCGAGGCTGCCTCCCTGAGCTCCCTCACATCCTCGGACCAGGACCGGGACCAGGACTATGACTACCTGAACGAGTGGGGCAGTCGCTTCAAGAAGCTGGCGGACATGTACGGTGGCGGGGAGGACGACTAGGCGGCCCTGCCAGCGCGAGAACTAAACGCCAGGCTACAGCAGCGGCCTTGAGGGGGCTCGGTCCCCTTCCAGCCAGGGACTTGGGAGCTTGGTGGGAAGTGGCCTGAGCGGCTTAGAGGGCTGAGGTTGCATGTCTGACCTGAGCGCACTGGAGTCTGAGCCTTTCGAAACGGAGGAGCTCGGGCAGCAGGACCTCGTCGGATGCTGACCACGGCTCACCCTGGTCTGGGCTGCCCTGGACATCAGTTTCCAGAAATCTCACTCCTGCCACGAAGTGCTCCGCCCGCATCCTGGGCCTGGACAGCTCCGATGCCCCAGGATGACTTTGCTTCTAGAATTTATCTTCTCTTTAGAAACAACCTGTTTCCATTTTTGTTTAAAATGCTTTTTTTCAGAGAGTTAGAGGCAGGTCCTCCACGTCCCCTCCGGGAGCACAGCCTTCGGGGCTCACCGGCCCTTGTGTGACCCTCAGATCTCCAGGCCCTGAGCCTCCCTTTTGGGAGAATCAGTGCATTTTTATACCAAGCGTGTCTAGGTTGTCCTGTATTTTTTATTTTCTCTATTGTGTGCTGTAGATGAAGGGTGCTGACAATCGTATAAATGTACTAGAACTTTTTTTTTTATTAAAGGAACTTTTCCCAGAGATGCCAGGGAGTAAAATTCTTTAGTAAGCTAATTCTCACACCTCACCGATCACCCACGCCCAGGAGCCAGTTCCGTGGGGTTTGGAATATTCAGCGTGGTGCCAGGGAGTGAACTCTTTCAGTCCTGCTGGATCCTCCAGTGGCAGGGGAAGCTCCGGATTCCCTGCCATGCCCAGGAGAGCCCAGCAAGCAATATTGCAGTATGGGAGTACAGACCCCCTACCTCTTCCTCACGAATTCAGAGCTCCTGTGTGAGGGAACCATGAACATCCTTCCCTTTGGGCTGAGCATTGCCAGAGCCTACACAAGATCACTTAAATTCTACTTGCCTCAGAGTTTTCATTTATAAAATAAGAACTTTTTAAGCCAGGCATGGTAGCACATGCCTGTAATCCCAGCACTCAGGAGGCTGAGGCAGGAGAATCAGGCAAATTCAAGACCAACCTGGGCTACATAGTGAGTTCAAGGCCAGGCTGGACTATGTAGTGGGACTTGTTGAATGAATGAATTTTAAGAAGCAGTAGGACATACAGGGCTGGGGAAGTTGCTTAGTGGTAAATGCCTAGCATATATGAGGACCCAAGTTCAATTCCCAGTACTGCAAATCATAATAAAATGGAACTTTTAGCTAGGTAGTATATGCTCAGCACTCAGCAGACTATGTAAGTTCAAGGCCATCTTGGGCTACATAGCAAAATCATTTCAAAAATATGTGGAGGGATGGTGGGGCAGAGGCTGAGGAGAATCACAAGTTTAAGACTACTCTGGACAAATTAGTGAAAACTGTTCTCAAAAACTACAAAGAGCTGCACCTGAGTGACCCCTAGTATCATCCAAAAAAAAGTGATTAAATGAATCACTACATGGTGCATGGCAAGTGCTATCAGTGTTGGTAACATGCCTCTCAGAACTCTCAGGGCCGGGCAGCACTTAAGTTTTCTCAGCCTCTGAGGACCAGGGATTTAGCTCAGTGGCACAGCATCTGCCTGACTAGTGTGAGGTCCTGAGTTTGATTCCCAGTACCCCCCACCCAAAAGCAAATGGGGACTCTCTGGAGGGGATTAATGGCAATGTGTCTTGCTGTGGATTTAGCTCAGCAGCACAAGTGCCTGCTTGGCAAGCGCGAGGTTGTGAATTTGATTCCCAGTACGAAAAAAAAAAGCCTCTGAAAATTGTGTTGTTTTGAAAAGGGGTCCGTTTGTACTTTTTATAATTGATACCTGGTCATCAAAATCAATAAAAACAAAATTAGAGGGCCGACCGCGCAGAATGTCAGTGAAGTGGTACACGAATGCAGGCGTGAGGAAGGGGAGGTGGCAGGGAAGAGCAGTTCTATGTGTGCCTTTGTCAAAGTGAGGTTCAACTTTTTCAGTTAACCCGAGGAAGGGAATCTGAAGCAGCGCCAAAGGAATTGCTCAAGTAGAGAGGGTTGTGTGCTAAGTTGTTCTCTGACTCCTGGCCTGCTGCTCATTTGCAAAAATTTCCTCCCCCCAACAGTGACTCAGTCTGTAAGCAGCTGTGCGGAGCCCGGCCCTGTCTGGCTGCACCAGTCTCTCATGGGGAACCGGGTACGGGGGCAGCAGGGCTGCAGGCTGGTTCACCCAGTGCCAGGTGACTCTGACGCAGTCTGGGCTTCCAACCACGCATGTGAAGGCGGAGAATCTTGGGTGGAGAAATTGGAAGAGAACTGAAGGGTTTGCACCCATCCGTGGTGCACAGCACCTTAGCCCCAGCCACTGCTGCTCCTTTTCTCCTTCAGAGCAGCCGTCTCTGGTTCTCCCGGCCTCCAGCTCCTCTCTGCTGGGCCCCTGCCGCTGAAAAGGGCCAGGAAGGATTGGATGGCCGAGCCAGCTGCACCTGCTGCTCCTTAACTTCAATTCCCCCAGCACAAACCTGAACGAAGCCAGAAATGCTGTCTCCAGCGGCAGCTAATCAACACCAGACAGCCACTGTTAGGCCAGGCCTTCCCTAGCCAAGCCTGCCCTCTGCAGGTGGATCTGCATTCCTTCTGCGTGGAACCGGTCACCAGCCTGAGTAATTTGGAAAGAACAGACCTAGGCTAGTGGGGTAGGGTTGGGTGCTAAGTTGTTCTCTGGCTCCTGGCCAGCTTCTCATTTGCAAAATGCTATCTTAGGCTTGTGGCCATTGAGACTTAGAAGAAGAGGTCCAAATATTTTTAGCTGCTAAATAACCATCGTTCACCACTCCTAGTGAACACTGACTACAAGAAACAATATAGCTGACCCTGCTAACCAGAACCATCAGAATGCTTGACTCACTGAGATTTCCATTTTGTAGCTCACCAGTTTGCTGGGCATCTTTCCAAAGTTTCCCCCTGTGCATTTTAGCTACATTTTGTATTACACCAGTGTCTCCGTCACATCCAATTTAGATGTGTTGTCACATATTCAGTCTTACACTGTCCATGAACATAAGTGATCTAGTTTTGGCCTGAAACAACGCCAAACACCTCAGAACCTGCATCTTTGCTGACGCTTCAAATTCAGTCATCCAGTCTGGGGACGAGAGCAGGAAACATGGTCCTGGCTGAGATCAGGGTTCTGTGGAGACTCAAAGCCTGAGTCTCAGAGCCTAAACTAGGCAGAAAAGCTAGGAAGAGTGGAGCTTTACTGTAAGAAAGAATTGGGGGAACCCAGAGCCCTGTCTCCTCAGCATCATCCACCTGATGGGTCTCTTTACTGTCTTTCAGACACAGAAAACTCCCGACCCACTCTGTCATCTTACAGGGGAAAGAGGCTCCAGAGAGGTGCATCCCTTTGTCCCCTTGAGCAGAGCCAGGTCAGCCAGGTGACTTGCATCCTTGTTGCTGACCCAGTGATCCTGTCATCTCCCAAAGGGGTGGTGATACAGGGAGAAGACCCAGGCAGGAAGTGCTAAGGGCCAGGCAGGGAGGGTCAGCTTGGGGTCACTATCAGTGTGGTGGTCGAGGGACAGGTAGGGCCAATTAATGCTCCCTTCTCGCCACACTCACAGGCTGGGTGGAATTTGTACTTCCAGCAGGAAGAATTTCTGGAGATTCGCAGGCTATGGGCACCTGCTACAGGGGGGTGGCAGCTGGGATTTCTCGAAAGGCCTTCTCCCTGGAGCCCAGCAGAGGGCGCCATTGACCCGAGCCACACACAGACGCTGCCTTCCATCCGGGCCTGCTGGATGCAGGGCGGATCTGCTGCGGCAAATCAGGGGACCGGGACTGGACCGGCAATCAGGGCGGCCGCCTTGGACACTCTGCAGGTAGTGATGGTCTGGTGGCGGTCAGTATTTAAAGGGCTATGACTGTCCATGACCGTGACATTCATTCTGTCACTTCTCAACCTCTCAGAGAGAGGTTTTATGGGTCTCTTTTTTAAACGAAAGTGAATACTGTAATAATAAAAGGGAAAGAAAGTGCTCAAAAGGACAGAACTACTGGGACAGGGGAAAGAAAAAAAGAAAGATTATATGTGGTTTGGTAAACAAATATAAATATATGTATATATATGTATGCTGGGTAGATAACTATACTACTTATCTATTAGTTCATCAAAAAAAAAAAAACAGTTTGTGCTGTCTTTGTTTGATTGATCACTTACATATATAGATTTTGTAACCTGAGCGACTATCTAGTTCTGAGATGACAACACGCAATACATCAACTAGTGTTAATTACTTTTTTTCATTTTTGAAATTCTGTATCATTTCTATTCTTTTTTCTGGTTTGCTTTTTAATTTTTTGGGGGGGGTTTGTTTTGTTTTGTTTTGTTTTTTGCCATATCAGGGATCGAAATCATAACCTTGTGCAAGTGCTTGAGTCTCTGAGCTAAATCCTTGGCCCTAAAATAAAATATTTTTTAAAAAATTTTAAATAGGGGCTGGGAATTTAGCTCAGCGGCATGAGCACCTGCCTTGCAAGTGCAAGGTTGTGAGTTCAATTCCTGGTACCAAAAAAAAGAAGAAGAAAGTAAAGATGTGATGACGTATGCTTGTAATCCCAGAGCTCCAGGAGGATGAGGCAGGAGGATCACAATTTTGAGCCCAGCTTTGTCAATTTAATGACTTACTCTATCTCAAAGTTAAAAAAAAAAAAAAAAACCATGAGAAGGCAGGGATACAGCTCAGGGAAAAGGGCCTGGGTTTGATTTTCGATACTGCTAAAACAAAACAAACCGCACACACAAGTCAGTAAAACACACCATACAGCAAAAGTCAAGGTTAAGGAAAAAAATAAAGCTAGGATAATTAATGAGGGAGGAGCTGGATGTGGGCTCAATTCCAGTAGCCAGGGAAGGCCTTGCTAAAATGATACCATATGAACAAAGACCAAAGCATTTCAGGTAGCAATGCGTGCAAGTAGCCAGAACAAGCAAGTGCAAAGGCACTGAGGCAGGAGTGTGCTTGGCAGGGTTCAACATGGAGACCAGGGCGGCTGCAACAGAGTGAGAGGGAGCCAGAATGTGACAGCAGGTAAGGATAGACAGGTGGGGGGGGGGGCGCTCAGGGTCTCTAATCCTAGGCAACCTCCTCTGTACTGGCCTAGAGGCTGAGTTTTGAATTTAGAAGAGCCAGGCCCAGAAGCCTAGGAAAAGGCCTGATTCAGCTCTGTCCTGGAGCTGGCGAAACCTGATTTTCCCCTGTGCCATCCTCAGTTACTAAGGAAGAGACTAGGCCTGTCTGGGCCTGTGAGCAGCTGCCGAGCTGGCAGGCAGAAGCTGCCAGTTTCTCTCTCCTGCCCGGCCCCGCCCCGCCCTGCCCAGCCCTCTGCCCCTAGTCTGATGGGACCCAGCCCTACTTAGGGGCACAGCTGCTGGAGCTGGGAGACTGGCCATGACTCACAGGTCACATGAGGTGACACTGGCAGAGTGGGCAGTGTGAGCTGCAGGCTGCCCTGCATCTGTGTTCCATAGGTGCCGACAGCTGCTCTTACTGTCCCTGCTGCTGGGCCTGGGCCCTCTCTGAGTCAGCGCTGGGAGCTGCCTGCCTCAGCTGCAGGCAGGGTAGGGAGAG